TCACTTATATTGCTCATTTAAGTGTACTTGGGGTAAGCATAATTGAAATGCATCCACATGTACAAGTAGAGTCTGGCCTTTCGCCCTCCTATGTTCTTAACCTCCCCATTAAGGCCACCCAGTTCATTATAGGACTAGTAGGGAGGCTCAGAAGGTGGAAAGATGAACTTTGAACATTTACTGCAGACACTGAAATTCAACTAAAACGTCTGCTGCGTATACTGCTGGGTCTACTGATCGTTTTTATATTGCAGTTTGCCTAAACATAGCCTCTGCTTATATATATTTGTTTACATGCTCTGTTTAAATTGCCGAAGTTGTGACAGATTTCCTTTAACGGTAGATTGCTAGCTACCAGAAAAATGGAAATATGTTTTACCAAAGAGAAAAAGGGACTCTTTCACATCAACCACACATTTATAAGCATTCACAAAATACCTGAACACAAATCCAAAACATATATAGTTTCCCAAAATGTTAGGTAGATGCTACCGGTAAAAAATATGTAATAAAGTGTCACTAAAATAATAAAACTAAAACTTTGTATTTGCTTTAGCATGCCGTTTTAACATCTCCCAACCTGAAATATTCAATTTCTACTATTAAACCCCCCCCCCACTAAAAACTTAAAATAGATGCTGGAACTACATTCACATACATTCCTGTTTGCCTTTGTCCACATTTCTTTCTGCGTTCCTAATATCTCCCATTGTAGTCACACATGCAGAAGTGCTCCGATACTAGTGCATTGGTTTTTTTTCACTATTCCCTCACAGCTCCACCCCTACTTCCTAATGTCCTACCCACATCCCCATCCCTACCCACCACCCTACTGTACCAGCCTCTCCTACAGCCTGTAGCCCATCTACATGTTACATGTGGCACAAGGTATTGTAGGAGATTAACGCGGACTGAGATGACCTGGAAGCACGAAAACCCAGCAAAAGCTGCTACTTAGAAGAGCAAGAATATGCAGTGTTTTTAAAAGTAAAACAAATATTTTGGAGCATAAAAACAAAACATTTTTATTTATTTCACAATGCTTGCCCTGAATACCTAATGCTGATGCCTTTTATATCTCCTTTAACCTAATGACATGAACATTTGTTCATCTTTTCAATAAAATAACCCCATGCTATACATTGCCATATGAAAACAAAATGCTGGCGAACCCCCTCAGTTTAGAGTCATGTTATGTATTCCACTATACCTAATTCCTAACAATCTCACTGGCCAGTAATACGCTAACAGGTCTGACGTACACATAGTCAGCTGTGTGCAGGTCCCTCTTTTTTCATCAATTTGTTTGTTGTTTAACTTGGCGGGAAGCCATACAGGAGATGCTGAAGAACACTGCAGTTTTATAGGAGGTATCACTGTGAAATGTATACTGCAAAAAAAAAAAAAAAATCTAGGTTGTTTTGCCAAATAAAAGGTAGAAAGTTGCTTCGCTGTAATGTGAGATTTCCTGCACACTCTGATATTTCACATCATGTTACGTTATTTCATTTGATAGTTTTTTTAAAGAAAAAATAGTAAATGGTTATCTGTTAACAGTGAGGCTGCAGAGATCAGTTAGGCTGGGTTCACACCTAGGCGTATCGAATATGCGCGTTTGTCGCGCGTTTCGTGCCGCGCGTTTTTACCGCGATTCACGGTAAAAAATACCTGTGACAAACGTGCGTTTCCGAGGGCTACCTGGCTGTATCCCAATGGATACGCGCGGCAAATACGCCCCAAAGAAGCTCCTGTACTTCTTTGGGCGTAGGGCGTTTTGCAGCGCGTTCCTACGCGCTGTAAAACGCCCAGGTGGGAACCATGCCCATTGGTTTTCGCATGTTGAGCGTTTGACAGATTGTAGGAACGCGCTGTAAAACGCCCAGGTGTGAACCAGGCCTTAGTGCCATTCCTTGTGCTCTGAGGTCAGGTTTATGGTTCTTCTTAGGATACTCAGAATGAGCATATTCCATTAACAAGGATGTACTTTATTCAAAAGTGCATTCATTAAAAAGCTGATCCCAAGAAAAATAGCTACAGTTCTAGAAAACAGTTACACTATGCCACCTGGTTTTGTCCTGCTAGCTGCGGTGGAAACATTTAAAGGAGAAATGGAAATTTCGTTGGTCCTAGTTTTGTTCTGCTAGCCGCTAGTAGCCATTGAATGTGCTAAACAGCCTGTGCATGCAAATCTTGCTTATTATGTCTTCTTTATATCTTGGTACAAAAAACTCACACAAAACTTACATTACATGTACTTACAAGTACAAGTTGTACAAGTTTTTGTAGTAAGAAACAAACAGGACATAACAAACAAGATTCGTGCAGAGCCTACTTTGGATCTATCTATCTATCTATCTATCTATCTATCTATCTATCTATCTATCTATCTATCTATCTATCCATATATATCTATAGTGCACAAGTCATATATCTGCAGCACCTCATGTAGTATTTATTTATATATAATCCATATGTCAATAGTTCAACAGTTTCGTACTGATATTAATCCTTCCTCAGGCAAGGCATATCTAACCACAAGTTGTACAACAACAAATTAAATACTCATTGCAACCGGAAATACAACACACTTCTATTCCATAATACTATATTACAACTTGCAGAGCCATTTAAACATCGCAATTAATTCAACATATCCATATTAGAAGGCATATTCACAGAGACTAGGGCTGCAACAACTAATCGACATAATCGATTATAATCGATGATTGAAAAAGTTGTCAACTTTTTCAATCATCGATTAATCGGTTTCCGATTGGTTGGCCCTGTTCACGGCTCCACACACGCTGCGCGCCACACCTCCCCACCTCTTGCTCGCCGCTGCCAGACCCGCCCGCCCTCATCCACGCTCCGCACCTCCTCCCTGCCTTACGCTCACCACCCAGCGCTGTAAAACGCCCAGGTGTGAACCAGGCCTTAGTGCCATTCCTTGTGCTCTGAGGTCAGGTTTATGGTTCTTCTTAGGATACTCAGAATGAGCATATTCCATTAACAAGGATGTACTTTATTCAAAAGTGCATTCATTAAAAAGCTGATCCCAAGAAAAATAGCTACAGTTCTAGAAAACAGTTACACTATGCCACCTGGTTTTGTCCTGCTAGCTGCGGTGGAAACATTTAAAGGAGAAATGGAAATTTCGTTGGTCCTAGTTTTGTTCTGCTAGCCGCTAGTAGCCATTGAATGTGCTAAACAGCCTGTGCATGCAAATCTTGCTTATTATGTCTTCTTTATATCTTGGTACAAAAAACTCACACAAAACTTACATTACATGTACTTACAAGTACAAGTTGTACAAGTTTTTGTAGTAAGAAACAAACAGGACATAACAAACAAGATTCGTGCAGAGCCTACTTTGGATCTATCTATCTATCTATCTATCTATCTATCTATCTATCTATCTATCTATCTATCTATCTATCCATATATATCTATAGTGCACAAGTCATATATCTGCAGCACCTCATGTAGTATTTATTTATATATAATCCATATGTCAATAGTTCAACAGTTTCGTACTGATATTAATCCTTCCTCAGGCAAGGCATATCTAACCACAAGTTGTACAACAACAAATTAAATACTCATTGCAACCGGAAATACAACACACTTCTATTCCATAATACTATATTACAACTTGCAGAGCCATTTAAACATCGCAATTAATTCAACATATCCATATTAGAAGGCATATTCACAGAGACTAGGGCTGCAACAACTAATCGACATAATCGATTATAATCGATGATTGAAAAAGTTGTCAACTTTTTCAATCATCGATTAATCGGTTTCCGATTGGTTGGCCCTGTTCACGGCTCCACACACGCTGCGCGCCACACCTCCCCACCTCTTGCTCGCCGCTGCCAGACCCGCCCGCCCTCATCCACGCTCCGCACCAGGGCTACAGCAGTTTTTTGTATTTTTTGTATATAGATATATATCTTTGCAGTCCATCTGGGATAGATAACCATACTACAGCTAATTGTGTTTGATTACTGTTGGGCCTATTCAATTATGTGCAAATTTAAACAACCTTAGAGGATAAGTTCACCTTTTGCAAAAACTAAAGAAATGCATAATTAATAATATATTAAAAAATGCATTTAATATTTGCATTCAAGCCTGGAAAGCATTGCAATTGTGATAACTCGATCACAGCTGCTAAGCTCAGGGTTCTGCACATTCTCTCCCAGGCAGAGCTCGTACTGAAGTACAGAGTTTAAGTTAGGAGAGATGGGGAAGGATGGCTGGACTTCAAGCTGCATTAAATCACCTCATACAGCGTCCAGCCGTCCTTGTTCTAGGTAGATGCGGGAATATGGGCAGCTCTGTATACTGCTTTTTTAACATTGGATGTGAGCCACATGGGTTTTACTTTTACCCTTTTAAACTTACTGGAATATATTATCTAAAGCCCGTACAGCAGCCAAAGGTGGCAAGCGGCTCAAGCTGAGCGGAAGGCATATGCTTTGGCTCGACTGAGCCAAAGTGACACCCAACGCGGGGCAAACGGCCTGCCGAAGGGCTGGCCATAAGCCCCGCAAATGACAGCTGGGCAGAGCCAGCCGTGATCTCACTGCTGGCTCCACCCAGTTGTAATGACAGATCAGTGTCCCAAAATGTCCTTGGGATAGGGATGTCCCGATGCCACTTTTTCAGGCCCATGCACAAGTACTTCCCCTCATGTACTTGCCGATACCAATTACTGATACTTTTTCTTAAAGGGACAGGAATTTTAAATGATCCATAGTACAACTACATGTTCTGTACTATGGATCATGATTTAACCTATTCATGTTAGCAGCGGAGAATTGTAACTCTATTGTTGGAGTGTAGTGGAGGTATGTGCTGTATATATGTACTACATATACATTACACACGTCCAGTACACTATAGCAATACATTTACAGCTAGCCCCGTCCCAGCTTCCCTCACTCACAGTTTCACGCCGATCCCTGTTGCCTCACGCGGTGCCTCTCATAGTTGGCGCTGGGCAGGATCGCTTCATCGCATCTCGGTGCTCAGCTTGTGGGAGGCGCTCACTAGACATGTGCGACTCGTTTCGTTCCGAATCGAAATTCGGACGAATTTTCAGAAATTCGGACATTCGGATGTATCCGAATTCCGAATTACAGACATAACGAATGCAAACGAATCCGAATTTCCATTTCCGAAATTCGGTAGCGGTAGTTCGAACGTTCGTTTCGTTTTCGGTTCTTATTAGTTTCTTATTCGTTTCGTTCGTTGGAGCAAAGTGACAGAGAAGGAGAAAAACATTTTTTCCCCCTCAAATGTCACTTTTCTGCAAACGAATGAAACGAATAAGAAACGAATAAGAACCGGAAACGAAACGAACGTTCAAACTACCGCTACCGAATTTCGTCCAAATCCGAAATCCGAATTGACTTTCACACCCGAATCCCGAAAAACGAAATAACACAGATCCGAATTTAAAACGAAACGAAACTAAACAAATTTTTTGGCAGTGCACATGTCTAGCGCTCACAATTCTGCCTTGCTAACATGAATGGGTTAAATTATGATCCGCAGTACATATGTCCTGTACACTGCAGTAATAGAGTTACAATTATCCCCTGTTAACATGCATAGGTTAAATCATGATCCATAGTACATGACATGTAGTTGTACTACGGATCATTTAACCCATTCATGTTAGCAGGGGATCATTGTAAATCTAATGCTGCAATGTACGGGACATTTGTGCTGTATATGTACAGTACATATAGATATACAATTCTGCACTGCTAACATGAATGGGTTAAATGATC